TATAATGTCTTTCTTTCATGTTGTAGACCACGAAATAGCAACTGATTTACAGTTGAGATACAGGTTTTCACAAAAATAAAATAAATTATAAAATGATAAACCTCACAATTGAGAGTTTAAACCAGGATGAGCCAGAAGTATAAATTATTATATTAATTTAAAACGGGGTTATGTGGGTGGATTTTCGCATTGATCTGAACAAAAACTACAGACTGGATTATTGAAAATGAACATTCATTCTCTGCCAGTAGGAAGCGCATTTGTAATGTCAGAAATATAGAATGAGAAAAGTGTATATAGCCTATATTGACGAGGAAAGTCCACTGATAAGTTACCAGCGTAAGCCTGTGTGCAAAGGCTGTCTAATTCTAAACTTTAAAATACATTTATTTTTATTTGTTTTAACTACAAATTTAAATAAAACTGAAAAAATTATGAAAAGGCAATTATAAATTTACAAACCTAAAATACATAGATCAAGAGCATGCTCACAGAAGAGAACAAAACAGCGTTGGATGAAGTGGATTAAAGCCCTGCACGGGCCTCAAATATAGGCCCTAGCCTGTCTTTTTTCCCCTTTTCCCAAAAAAAAGCTTTTACTACTGTTTCGGCTATTAAAATAGTTCAGGTTTGTATGTAATGGAAAAGTGATTATATTTCATTACGTTTTTTATAAAGTAAATTTAGAAAAACATTTGGAGTATTTTTGTTCGATAAATGTACGTTTTTATTTTTTTTTAAGAAACGGTCAGCGGCAGACAGTGAATCATAGCCTATAGCCTGTTTGATCAATTTAGCCTTCTCAAATCATCAGGACTTGCCTAAAATAAAATGGAAACAACTTAAAATACGCAGTCATTTTTGCTCATAAAGGTACGAGTAATACATCATTCTAAACTGTAAAGGGTCTAGTTTTATTTGTGTGCACTCACAATATCAACAAAACGTTGTGCTTTTATAAAATAAAGAAAACAAACGCTTTCTGCCGTCTCGGTTTTGAACAGGAGAGCTTCACAATGATGAACCTAAACTCAGACATGATAAAAATATATAGAATGCTTTAAATTATTTAAAATGAAATAATTCAAATCGAAAATAGACTCTTAATAAAATAAACTTTTTCATTATGTAATCCCTGCATTTTTCTCTAAAGGCACATCCAATTAGGAGATGCCGAGTCATTTTTTTCATCACCATAATTGATGGAAGGCCTGATTATAATTTGCGATTTGTAAAATAGCCAACAAATTAATTGTTGTAGGCTAATGCATTTTTTTCTAACAGTGGAAACAACTTAAAATACGCAGTCATTTTTGCTCATAAAGGTACGAGTAATACATCATTCTAAACTGTAAAGGGTCTAGTTTTATTTGTGTGCACTCACAATATCAACAAAACGTTGTGCTTTTATAAAATAAAGAAAACAAACGCTTTCTGCCGTCTCGGTTTTGAACAGGAGAGCTTCACAATGATGAACCTAAACTCAGACATGATAAAAATATATAGAATGCTTTAAATTATTTAAAATGAAATAATTCAAATCGAAAATAGACTCTTAATAAAATAAACTTATTGTTGTAGGCTAACCCGATCTCATGAAAGTGCATATAGCACGATTTTCTGCTTCTATTTGGTGTAATATTTCTATGGAGAAATTTACTTTAGGATGCAAAATACTGATCAATTCATAATTAATGGCATGGCTGGTTCAGTCGACAGAAATACAGGACACAAAGGCGTATAATAACTGCTGAAATGTTTGCGGGGCAAATCTCAGGTCAGTCTGAGCGCTCATGGTACGCACAGTGCAGCCGTACACCTGCAGGCGCCACTGACTCGGACGGTTGTCGGGGCTAATAAACACCGTAAACAGCAACCGTTCGCATGTCAGCGCTTAATGCGCATATCCTATATGAAAAGCATTTTAGGGGGCCCTTGGCTTTTGGGGGCCCAAGGCGGTCACCTACCTTTGCCTAATGGGTAAGTCCGCCCCTGGTCATTATGCCATTTCTGCGTCATTGCACATGCGCAGTCCTTCAGTTTCAGGGTTCAATCCGATCTAGTGTTTACATGCACTCTCAATCGTATTAGAAAAGGAATAAACCACCCCCTTCAATCCGATCGAAATTTCATTCTGATCGGGCTCAATCGGATCGATTAAGGTGTTTACTTGAAGGTTTTTCAGTCTGATTGAGCCGTCAATCCGATTACAAATGGATTATTTGGTTGCATGTAAACATAGCCATTGTGTGTCACGTGTATGTTCCTGTTTAGTTGCTGTTTGTCCTTATTTGGTCCTTTCAGTTCCTTTTCCCATTATTAGGAATTATTTATTATAACATTATTCCCTGTTCCGCCATGGCTCCCCGAACTCTCTGCTCCGCCATTGCTTCCTAGTCTGCCTGTTTCGCCATTGCCTCCTGAACTGCATGCACCGCCATGGCCTCCTGAGTTCCCTACTCCGCCATGGACTCCTAGTCTGCCTGCTTTGCCCCGGAGCTCCCTGATCCGCCCTGGAGGCCTTCCCATGTCCCTGTCTTGCAACAGCCTCCAGGGCGCCCAGCCCCCGGGGAGTAATGTAATGTGTTTGTTCCTGTTTAGTTCTGGTTTGTCCTTATTTGGTCCTTTCCGTTCCTTTTCCCAGTATTAGTAATCACCTGTTTCTTGTTATTAGTTATCCTCATCACCTGTCTGCCCCTCGTTATCTGCCCTATTTGAGTTTGAGCCCGTTCGGTTCTCCCTTGTCTGGAATTTGTTCATGTTCACCCCTTGCTACGTGTGTTTTCCTGTTTCCTTGGACATTATTAAAGACTTTAAGTTTGCATTTGAATCTGTGTCTCCTCATTCCTCACTCCGTGCTCCTCACAGTAGCATAACCCATGACATTATGCTTTTTTTCTGTATATATAATCTCATAATATGATGTACGCAAACCCATGATATTTATTTATAATATATATTTATTATTTTGTCATTATGATTGTTCATTGTTAAAGATACAACCATCTATCCCTGAGCTTGTATGCAATAAGTTGTGCAATAAAAAAAGAAAAGAAAAAGATGTGAGCAACAGGTGCAGTAACAGCTCACAGCATCAGTAACTCAATAACCCTAGCTAGTGCAGTTTTCCTCAGCCTTTGCAATGTTCGCAATGCTTGCACAAAGGAGACGTCAGGCAGCTGCTCAAAGGTCTTGCCTTTGGTGAAGACTGATGATTTATTTACTCAAAAAATGTAAGTATTATTTCTTAAAAAATAAGATTACCCCAGAATATATTGCATTGCTAGCTCACTCCAACACTTACACACATTATGATAAATGCTGACCAATAATAAATTATATATATATATATATATACTGTATATATGTGTGTGTGTATGTGTACAGAAAACTATATGTTTTAGTAAAACAAGCAAAATGTAATTTGCAGCCATCATGACGAATCATGCTATCGTGGCTGGCCAGTTAGTCGACAGAAACGACCTGGTCGTTAAGTTTCTGAGGGGAGCTCAGAGATTGAATCCGCCTCATCCTCACACTGTGCTGACTTGGGACTTCTCTATAGTCCTCAGGTCCTACAGGGCCCTCCCTTCCAGCCACTCCAATCGGCTGACTAGTGGCCCCTGTCGCTTAAGACCGCCCTCCTTCTGGCTTTAGTGTCAATCAAGCGAGTGGGTGACCTGCAAGCACTGTCAGTCAGTGCTTCATGTCTTGAGTTTGGGCCTAACAACTGTAGAGTCGTCCTCAAACCAAGACATGGCTACGTGCCAAAAGTGCTCTCCACTCCATTCAGAGCACAAGTCATCACCCTCCTAGCGCTCCCCAATTCAGAAGGTGAGCAGGGTCCTAATTCACTCTGCCCAGTTTGGGCCCTTAGAGTGTATGCTACGACTCAGAGCAGCTCTTTGTATGCTTCAGAGGCTGCTCTAAAGGGTTGCTGGACACGAAGCAGAGACTGACAGAGATCTCGCTTGATAGTGGATGCTATAGCCTTGGCTTACGCCTCAGCAGGCTTAAAGTGTCCTATAGAAGTGAGGGCCCCCTCCACCCAGCGCAATTTCTATTGGTAATATCATGCCGGCTGCATGTCTCCGTCTACCTTCACCAGATTTTATAACTTGGGTCTCATTATTAGCTTAGAGGAGCCCTCAGTATGGGTGCTCCAAGGCTGGGCTCGCAGAGTGGCTTCATTCTGCACTTGCTTATAGCACGGCATGATAGGATGCGTTCCCCATAGCATGATTAACGCAACGGAAAACAGTTCGAAAGGGAACGCTCCGGTTACTTATGTAACCTCGGTTCCCTGTGATAAGGGAATGAGTGTTGCATAGGCTACTGTGCTATAAAGCTGCACGCGAGTCGACGACTGTTGCTTCAGTCGAAAGATTCTGATGAAGTGGCACTCAGAGCCGACTTATGTAGCAGTCAGCTCCACCACTTTTGGTGAGTTGGTTTGTGCAGCTACACGAACATGAACAAATCAAGCTTCAGTATCAGAGTAAACAGGAGTTTCTCCATAGCGTGATTAACACAATGCTCATCCCCTTATCTCAGGGAACCAAGGTTTGTTAGTAACTGGAGTGTTTTCAAATGTTTATAATGAAACAAGATAATTGTTGAAAGTTGCAAGCACATCATTATTATACTTTCATATCTGCAATTCACTTTCATTGTGAATAAATCATCTTGATGGTATAAACTTTACTACGTTTGAGTGAAATGAGCTGAAATCAGTCAGCAGATGACTGCAGTTTTACTGATGTGATTGGAATTTCACCTCTCAATATATGAACACATGCCTGTTGAAAATCACAGGTCCAAATGCATGTTATATGTTTGTGCTGCACATGATGCAAGACGTCAATGTGTGCCATTTTTCATTTGAAGAAAGTGATTTAAGGAGTTTTCTCTCCTCAGATGTCAGCAGTGATTCACAATCACTCATCAGGAGGAATTATCCTATGAGAAGATGCTTTCTAAGAATTCTTCTGAACAGACTGTTAGAGATGTACCACAACTCTTTTATTGAACTGAAATTGAACAGCATTGCATCCACTTCTATTCGTGAAGTGATATGCTTGATTTACACACAATGGGAATGTAAAGAGTTTACATTACAGGTAATAGAGATTGAACATTTCAATGAACAAATTCAAGAAAGGATCAAAACATCTGCATGAATAGAGTTACAGGCAAAAATAAAAGAAATAAACACTAAATCTACTGTAATTCAATAAACAGTGTGTTTGCACCATCTGAAGAACCCATCACCAATGACAATGTCAAGCTGCAGATTCCTCTGGAGACTCATGGGAAATGAGTGTGAGAGCGTGTGTGTGTGAGTTAAAGAGTGGACAGTCAATGTTATTCGGTCCCTGACTAATGGCTACACAATATTTCAGCAGCGGAATCAAAGAATCTCCGTCAAAGAGAAAGCACACGCTGCTTAAGAAAAAAAAAATCACATTAACCTTTATTGTGCGAACAGCAAAATCAAATGATTTAATCATGTAACATAACTGATATTTCTAGAAAAGCAGTCTACTGATGAGAGAAGCAGTGCTTCAGCGAGTGTTTATCTGACTGCTCCAGCAAACACAGATGATGAATCATAGGAACATAATGGTCAAATTTCAATGAGTTTCCACGTGCCGATCCTGTCCGTAGCAGTATAGAGAACCGGACGTGATTTTCTAGCTGTTGGTCCCTGGGAAGGTTCCTGTGCCTAAAATAACTAAGTGATCCATTCATGTTGGTCTTTGGGTAATTGAGTGCAGTTCAGCACTTGTTCAGCACATTTTCTTTCACTCGCTCCCTCATTCATTCTGTTTTATTTTTCTATGGTCAATACTAACATTCATCTCAACACACTCTTAGTCTCAGAGTCTCTAGAGGTTCAGGTGACCATGCATCTTCACCTCATTTTAAAGGTTCTTCTTTCAAACATGGCTCCGTCCGTCCCTCACTCACTCGTACTCAGCGATCAGCACCATCATTCCCACCCCGAACAGCAGAGCGAGGATCTCCAGCATTGACTGCCAGAAACTAGAGCGTCCCACAAGCAGCTCTGGAAGAACCGTGACGGTCGCGATGTAAACGAAGCCTCCGGCGGTGAAGGGTAGGATCCAGGCGGTTGCCGCGGCACCCACCCCTTCAGCCAATAAGGAGCAGGCAGTTCCGGCTAACGCACCAATGGCGGTGAGAAGCTGAAGACACATGGCCTGACGAAAACAGCAGAATTAAGGGTAAAGTAAGAACAGTGCCGTTTAGCAAAATCAACACCAATTTCACGTTGGCTAAAAACTAGCCCAGAACCATTGACTGACAAATCAGCTCTCTGGAGCGCTGTACCTTCCTCTTGGTGCAGCCTGACTGGACAAGAATGGCAAAGTCTCCAATCTCATGTGGGACTTCATGTAAGAGGATGGTGATGGTGGTAACAGTGCCGACCGCTGGACCTACCAGGAAAGATGCGCCGATCGCAAGACCATCTGTGAAATTGTGGGTGAAATCAGCAGCCAGGTTCAGATAACCCGACACTTTAATATCTGCAGACACAGAGTTTTTCTGTCAGTAAGACAACAGCGCTGACACATGCTAACACAACAACTCAAACACTTGGGTTTTTGTACCAGAACTCGTCTCGACTGTTTTCTTTGCAGGTTTCTTATCTGAGTCAACGTTTTTCTCTTTCCCTCCCTTCTTCTCTCTTTTCTGGTCATCATCCTCTTCATCGCTGTCTTTTGCCTTTGGAGCCGCTGAAAACACGGCAAGAAAGGTTTTTCTTATTGTATTTGGAAGCCTGTCAACAATGCTCAACAATGATCACTGCTCAAAAAGAGAAGAGAGGAATTATATTTCAGTATTATTTAGCAGCAGCAGGATTGTTTGCAATGTGACATGATTTTCTGCTACATCACTGGGAACAGCTGCTTGGTCTATCTGCCATACCTAATCATCAAGTGACAGAAGAAAAGATTTCATCAAAAATAACTGGCAATCCCCACCAAAACAGAGCTGTTCTGAATCTTGTCAGATGTGCATTAGGAATATTTTTCAAGTGCTTTAAATGCAAATATACTCGGATTTGTTTATGACTCTTACCATGAGAGTGAGAGTGAGAGTGTCCCCCCTTCAAAAGACGAACAAATTTCTCAACTACCAGAAACGCAACAATGCCACCCAGCACCCACAGCCCGACCAGCATCATGTGACCATGACCTGCACCTGCGACAGAAACCAAGCACTGACTGACACTTCAGAAAAAACAAAAGAGCATCTTCCAATAAATTTGAATCTTGCATTGCATTTGGCCAAATTATAACTTCAGTTAGAAAAACAGTATTTCAGTGACTGAACAACAGCCTACCGTGTGAGTGACCATGTGACTCGTCGCTGCCGTGTGACTGGTCATGATGAGAATGAGGTTCTGTGTTGAGAGGAAATCAAGGGGTGAAGGTTTGGCTGGTTAGTAGAGCAGATTTCAGAATCAGAGTCTTCTGACAGCAGAACAATTCTTCATATGATAGACCACCTAGAATAAAATCTGCACTACCAATACTAGAAAAGGATTTATACACCTCATAAAACAATACACAAAACAGTATGCTAATATATTTATAGAGTCCAGTATAGACTAAAGCAATAAGCCCCAAGAAGCCGTGGTTTACAGTGAATTTATAACAGCTAAGGGGTGTTGTTAGGCACGACGTGAAGCGGAGTTAGCGGATATAAATTCACGGCTTCACGGGGCTTACTGCTTTTATAAAACAGTTATTTATGGCATTATTTTAATGACAAATGTCGAGAGCACATTAATGTAGTGCGAAAGCACATAAATATAATGCGCAAGCACGAATCTCTCCACTCGCATGCGGATTTCCTTTGCTCTCGCACTAAACCGGACGCGCACGCTCAGATACACGTAGATACAGAGAGTGCGTGCACTTAAAACGTGTCTCTCCTCAAACTGTGTCCTGTGCACTCGCAAATCTCTTTATGCTCATGCAGATATTAATTCATTTCACACCTGAATTAAACGTTGTCAAAAGTTATTATGCACTTTTAAAAAGTAGTCTCAAAACAGATTTGTTCAGGGCCTTTCCTTGATTTTTTTTATTTTTATTATTTATGAAATTATCAATGTTAACGAAATGTAGCCTATATTAGAAATGGCTAGGAACTGGGTGCATGGATTATTTGTACATATAACCTCTGTCTGTCCTGGTTGGTCTCTAAGCAATTTATCAATAACAACATACATTTATAAAAACAACATATTATAGTCTATGGCTCTAAAGACTTCATATAAAAGATCAATGTTATGTCATCATATGTCAGATACATCAACTGAATTTAAAATCATTGCAATAAATTCTCAGTTGGTATGATGAAAATAATAAGTAACAACTCATCAAATCAACATCAAATGCAAAAATAGATATAAATGATGCAAGATATAATACAATAAATGCTCTAATAGCATCGCTGTTTGGACATTTATTGGGAGTTTTTTTTTTTTTTTAGTCCAGTGTTTGTTTTCAGTTCTGATTAAATGCATTAAACACAGAATATATTAATATAGTGTATGACAAATATGAGAAATTCATTATAGTGTTATATTTGGTCTCCAAATCTTAAGTACTGGTTTGGGAATATATA